CTATTTTCTAGAACTATCCTGTACCTTGGCGAATGCTCTAGTATTTACTATATATAGGGTAGTCTGGTATATAAAAGACGGTGACAACGTGATGGGAATGTGTGTGTGTAGATAGTGAGTAATTGAACTGCAGTCAGAAGTATTGTTGACGTTCGTTGATATAGCGTTTGTTTTAGCGTGATTGTTGAAAATAAGTGTATCGTAAAGTTGTATTCGGAAAGAATAAACCAGTTTTATTAAGTAAGGATTTGTGTCGCTAAAGTTTCATCGGAACTAAGTTACGGAAAGTTAATTAACAAACGGAAACGTAACAATATCCTAAATAATTTTTATAACAAAAAAAAGCAAATTTGGTTTTTGCATGCAGTATAGAAAAACAGAATAAATTAATGCTTATGAAATCTTTTCATTAAATAAACCATTAATGCAAGAAACAGCATAAATGATTATAGCCATATGAAGTCCACCTGGTTCAAAAAGAATAGGGAAAATGTTGTCTTGATCAGGAGACATTTTTGATTTGCCTTTACCATTTAGCATAAATGAACAAAATCATCCCAAATGAATATGTTAAAGTAGATGTAATAAGAATTTTTAAGCTTCATTTTTTTACCCTGTATGCAATTCTATCCCTTTGTAAAGTCTGAGCACATATAAAATTAACAATCTACTTGTATAACTCTTCTGTGCTGATACTCCTGCAAGTTTTTTATGTACCCCTTAGTTATAGCAGTTGTATTTGGTACATCCTTTATTTAAGAATTTTGAAATTCACATGCAGCAAGTAGATTAAAGTCTAAAGAATCAATTTTTATCGATCAAAGATTTAATTTTTCTGCTAATAAGTTAGCAATTTTTATAAAATAATAAATGTCCTTGGTTTTGGTCTAACACCAACTGTGTGCACATTTAACAATTACCAGTAATGTTGGGGAGACATTTATATAATGAACAATTTCATAGCAGAAAACAAACAGTTACTACTAGCAGTAGGAAATCTTGTACTGTAAGATTTTTTATTACAATATATTAAAACAGGTTAGAAAAAATCTCAGCAAATATAAGTACAAAATTACAATTATTTTCATAAACTTTCTCAAATTATTACAAAAGTCACTTAAAAACAGCATAAAAGTCATTGGGAAGGTATCTATTCAAGAAAGTATAAATCAAGTCATACTACACTCTGATAATATGAATTAAATATGTATATATTACAAACCTAACTATTGATTTTCAACATTTCTGAGAAAGTCCATGGCTATGCATGATGATATTTTACACTATCTGATGATAAAATTTTCTTTTAATGTTATGGCAGTTTCATAAACATGTTTGTGGGATAATTGTATGAAACAGTTTATGGGATATATATAGATATAAAAATGTGTATTTTGAATAGACCAAATTTGTTGAAATATGTTGAGGTGAAGTTTTTTTAACTTTCTGTTTTCTGATAAAAAATACACTTTTAATAATGTAATATTTCCTATACCAGGAAATGTTTATTTTCATTAAACATATTCAACAGAAACCTTAAATTACAGTAAGGAATATACTGTTCCAACTTACTGACTGCTTGTGAATAACATGAGAATTGGACAGCAGGAATGAAGCAACATCCAGTAAATCCTAAAAGAAATATAAATGAAATGGAACATTCATTTTTTATTGTTATTGAATATTTTTAAAAATCAAATACATACATAGATAAACACTAACCTGCCAAACTTCTCATGTTACTACCCCTGCCTGGTTATTGCATGTATGTGTGCATGAAGAGTATAAGTCAAAACATTTTCATCTGATGTTGATCAAATTTTGGTATAAAGGTTAAGAGTGTCCCAAGGACCAAATTATTAACTTTTAGTGAATGCAGGTCAAAGATCAAAGTCACACTGAAAGTCACCTACATAACTCAAAAAGTTAATATAATTTTGATCAAACTGTTCACAAAGATTGAGTTTCTCCTACAGATCAATTGATGATATTTTGGTAAAAGTAGCTCAAAAGTCAAGATTATAATGATGTTAATCAATTTCTTTATAATGGTAGTAGATCAGAATTCAGAACTAAAGAACAAATTGAGATAGAAAAAGGATCTTGGCACCTAGATCTACATTTTTGAGGGTGAGAAATTTTTGGTGTTATTTTAGGTTTGTTACTGCAAAAGCAAAAACCATTCTGGAATGGGTATTGCACTTTCTGTATACCTTTCTAGTTGTGGCATATTCACTTGTATAAATATAGATCTCAACATATACCAGATAAGTAAAGTATAATTAAGTGACAAAGTACATGCAAAGATAGTAAAATGTTAAAAATTATATGACTCAGAAGAGTTTATAAGGTTTTCACTGGAAATATTGTCAGAAATGCTTCAACAGTATCAATATTTTCAATATACAACATTTATAAAATATTCAGTTTAGCCATTCATGTCATCAGAACATAAGAAAATTGCACTTGTATGGTTGTGAGAAACATACCAACAAAGTTCATAATTGCAACATGTTAATTTACATGACCTTTACTTTGCCCAACATGAATACATGTGAACAGACAATATCTGTGAGGTCTGTGCAGTATATGCTTAATTTTCTTTATTTTTATAGGTACTCACTTAATCATCAAAAGGTGGTCAAAAATACTTTGGAGTTATGAAATCCACCTGACATACCTTGAAAATGATGGCTGAATACAGACAGGCAGATGCACAAATCAACAAATGATTGTGTCATTATGGTGTGGGTTGCATTCTGTGCATACAGCATGGGACATCATTTCCTTACAAAACACGCTGCTTAAAACTAAAATAAGACCCAACTTGTTTTTTTTCTCGAACTAATTACAGTAATTATATCGATTACTTGAAGTTATGCAGAGTTAAGCATTAATGAAAGTGCTCATTAAATATTAGTTTTTAGTTTAGGTGCTGCTGCATTTACTCAAAGACTGTAGCAAAACTGCAGTTTTACCTATGATACACGCACTTTAGATTTATTATTATAATAACTAACACAATTGTGTGATTTGAGTGTGGCCTAGTAGTTTGCTTCAGGCTTTTGATAAAAGGGTCCAAGGTTTGAAATGTGATGCTGCTGAAAACACTCTACAGTTTCATCTGTGGGTATGATTCAAGCCTGTTATTTGTTTCCAAGAGCATGACAAAAACCTTTGTGGCAATGTGTGCTTCTGGCTGGTTTTCTTCCCTCTGGTCAGTTGTTCAAAATTACACATAGCTGTATCAGATTCTTAGGGCTCTCTGATTTATCTGTGTAGCCCACATATACATAAATATGATTTTCAGGTAGAAAATTACAATTCTATTCCACTGTGGTTTTACTTCAACTTATAACTCTTCAATGGCTGGAGTTTTACTCATTTTATAAAGCATGGATGGAATTATAATA